TCAAGACAACATTCACAAAGAAAACGTACAAGACCTACAAAAACATATTCATAATTTTTGAGGATCCTTTCCTAAAACTGTGTCCTATGAAATGCTTAAAATCTCTTCTGAAGCACGTAGGCTTACCAGTCCAAGCTTTGAAACAAAGACTTATTTCAGATAAGATGTGCAGATTTTGCTTAATGTCTACTATCTGGGACTGAAGATATTCTCTCTTCCATTGCATTGGGCTCTCAGCTTAGATTGTCCTCTTGGGACAAGCATTGATGCACCATACAGACTCAACTTTACCTGCAGTAGCTTTATATTTTGGTGTCCATCTGAGCTACTTCACATTGATGTGCTAAGTTCTTAATGCTACATGTTGCACTGGCTTCCACCTCACATTCACTTGCTGCTCTTATTCTAACAGTCACAAAACATTTATCACCTTAAGGTTCCATGGTGACTTTTGTTTTATGGTGTAGATTGATTCATCAGAAACATTATTGGATATTTCTCCAGCAGTGATCTTTGTACACCTGCTTTGCTTCTCCCTGGCAAAACATTTGTGTTTTGTGGATGTGTGATCCGAAATATTGTGCTGGAACCTGTAGGAGCTCTCTCTGACCAATTGTGGGCTTGTTTGTCATAGAATGAGAGAAAGGGAATTATTAAAGGAAGTGACAATAGGTTGTACAGCTGATCGCGCTGGAGCAGATGGGGGAAAGGGTGAGGTTTCCCAAGTGAGTTCCTTCTAAACTCTAATGAATAAAGACCAAACCTGTTCAGCTATTCTTGATACACCAACCACTTTATTCCAGGATCAGCCTGGTGAGCCTTTTTTGAAATTATAAATATAAAGGTAAAGTCACCGTGTCTTCACAGACCATAGGCTGCTCTCTCAGTAAGGAAAGATGACTGGCAGCTGTTTAACCTTCGAGTCACCACACCTTAGACAAGGGGCAAGGTGGGACTTTCATGGTAACCTCTAGTGGTAAGAAATTGAACCTGTGCTGTTGGTATCACTCTGCATTGTAAACCAGCTGTGCAGTCAATTGAAATAACTGACCCCATTCTTCTTAAAAAAGGACAAAAACTCCACACAGTATTCCAGGTGTGGCCTCTCTAACGCCATGTTCAATTATAATAAGACTTCCCTGTTTTTAATCTCCAATCCTCTTGCAATGAAGTCCAAAATTCCATTTTCCTTTCCCATTAACTGCTACACCTGCATGCTAGTTTTTTTTATATTTCATTTACAAGACCACCCAAATCCCTCTGTGCTGTACATTTTTTGACACTCTCTCTCCATTTAAATAATAGTCTGCCTTTTATTTCTTCCTACCAAATGACCTCACATATTCCTATATTAAACTTCATCTGCCAAATTTTTGGCCATTCACTCAATGCACTTATATCCCTTTGTAGTTTCCTTATATCCTCAACACAACAAGGCCTCTACCTATTTTTGGTTCATCAGCAAATTTGGATACATTACACGCTGCACCTTCCTCCAAGTCATGAATATAAATAGTAAATAACTGATGCCCTAGACTGATCCTTGTGACACTCCATTAGTTACCACTTTCCAAACTGAAGAAGACACATTAAATCCTAGCTTTCTGTCTTCTGTGTGCTAACTAATCCCCATTCCATGCTAATACATTAATCCCAATACTGTGACCTGGTATCTTGTACAGTAATCATTATGTGGCACCTTATCAAGTGCCTTCTTGAAATTCAAATTCACTTCATCTGCTGGTTTCCCTTTATCAACTCTGCTTGTTATATCCTTAAATAACATCAGCAAATCTTTCAAAGCTGATCTCTCTTTCACAATACCATGTGGATCTGCTGGAATGTGTTAAGCTTTTCTAAATTCCCTGCAATTTTTTCCATAATAAAGAGCTCTAACATTTCCCAATGACATGTGTTAGTCTAACTGGTCTGTATTTTTCTGCTTTCTGTCTCCTCTGTTCTTGAACAGAGATATCACATTAATGGATTTCTAATCTCTTAGACCCTCCCTTGAGCCAGCTATCTCTGGAGCAGGGGGCAAAAAGGCAATACAAAAAAATACATGCCAGCAATGCAGTGATCATCCTGGCAGGCTCAGAGTAAGTGAGCACTGGGATAACAAGCAAAGAGTCTGGAGATACAACCTGGTCCAGATCATCAGCTGGGTATGTGTCCCTGAGCGCAATGTTTCCTTGCAGCAGATTTACATTGATATTTGCCATTGAGCTTTGATGTCCAGTATTGAAGTGCAGAAGTGTACTGTAGAGGATTGGAGACATGCCATGAGAGTTCTCGGAGATTAGTGAATGTCAACATCCATTGCATGTGGCCAATTTGCATGGACCCCAGAAATGTTGATGCCTGACCTGCAACGTGGAGATCCATCAGAACAAGAGCTGAACTGAAGTTGTCAAGTACTTGTTCTGACTTCTAAGTAAAGAATTCTTAATGTCTAGCTTGATAAGCTAGGAAACTTAATATTAATGAGGTGAGTTGGGTTGTTGATAAGAAATTTAGCAAGCTTTACTGCCCTTTAATTGGCAACTTGCCATTGCCTAGTCAGAAACTGAGCTCACTGCTCGGCAAATACATACAAGATGCAGCATGATACTCCCAGTATTGAAATAGGCCTAACTGGACTTCTGATCTGATTTTGCCACAAATCCCACCATAGCCCACTTTGCTCTGACAACAAAATATTTCACCCACTGAGCCTACAACACTTTGAGAGAGAGATCAGATGATGGGTGAAAAATGTATTGGGTTTGAATTCTTCTACAGTTTGGAAGAATTTGCCACAGGGACGACAGACTTTGCTCTTTTTCTTTGAAACTTTTCTAATTAAAGCTTGTGAGTTGAGAACCCTCTGGAAGACCTCATCATTGCAGTGAGGATCCTCAAATGAGACAGCTGAATCTACACTGCCCAGAAACAGGATGCAACTGGCTATAACTGGTCCTTGAAGAAACCCCAATGTCAAAAGCTTGTGAGTTAGTGGCTTCAGCTGCAAATCAACACTTAAAGCAATTTGTGAATGTCTTTTTTTCCAACTTGTCCAAAGAATATTTAGAATAACATGCTTCGAAGTTGTATATTTTCTTTCAGGCTTAGAGATGGCTGTGTATTTACTGATATTTCTTAAGAAGGGAAGTTGCATATGTTTGCTTATATTAAACCTTTTATTAATAGCTTTTGCATCTCTGCTTGAACAAGTTTTGTTTTGCAATAAACTAGTTGATTATTATTAATTTAAGAAGTTGACTCATTTGCTCCTGGTAGTTAGTTATATACCAGCAAATATAACTGGCGATATTACCTTCCTTTAAAATTCAAACTTTGCCGAGGCCAATGGAGGAGTGGGAAAAGGAAAATAATCAATCCACCCGTATTAACTAGTAACTGTTGGATGCAAAATGATTCAGATTCCTACAGTTAGGACACTGCTTTCCTTATACTAGGCATGCTTCATTTTCTTTTGCTGTCCTCTGCAATTCTTACATCATACACTCTAGTCTCGATCTGGTCTCTGAAAATATTTCTTTTCTCTATTATGAACCGTCTCTCAGCATAAAGCAAATCTGCATTTTTATCCCATTAATAATCTCCAGCTAATGATTGATAATATCAGAGGTTCTGCTACATGTTGATAGCTTTCTTGAGAGTAAGTTTCTCCTCTGAGTGGACATGCTCCCTCAGGGTGATCTCTTATTCCTAAGTTGATTCTATACCTCTGATAAAATCATCTTTCAGTTGCTCAAATTCACAAGTTTCTACTCATCTCATTTAAGGCATATTCTGATCAATGTTCTCCATCGTTTTCAAAGCTCTGATGTAAAACACATAATATTTGTAAAAATATTAGAATATTCAAAATGGGTCTTCAAGGCCTTCGAAATTTCTTCAGCCTGGCTCTTTTCTCCTCTGAGGTCGAGGGTGCAATACAGTTGTAGTTCTTTCCCCAGAACTGGCATGAGTTTTAACATTGAGGCTGTCTGATTTTATTGAGGCTGGAAAAAGTTCAGAATCTGACTCAAATCAGCTTCCATCTTCACAGGAGCAGGGACTGGAAAATTCAAAGCCACAGTGACTCACCCAGAAGTATAAGTTTGCATGATTTTCTTATTACTGTTTAATGCTTCTTACAGTAGCTGGTTCTCTTGCAGCTTTCAAAATATCTACAATTTCAGCTGCATGCTTCTGACACCGTGATCTGGCTTCTGCCTCGTCTTCAAAGGGCAATCAAAGATATTACAGATTTCATGACTATGACAAGGGACAGTACATTTGGAAGGTGCTGTGAGAATTTTTTCCAAACAGTCACTCGATAATCGTGGGAAACCAGTAGGCAAATTTGCGGCCGTAAAACCGTGTTTGGGGATACCCTGAGAATGTGAAAGTCGTTATATAAACAGAGGCAATGCTCAGGTTGCGAACGGAATTTGTACTTGAGTCCGTTTGCAAGTCGAATTGTGTGCAAGTCAGAACACAGTGCGGGACAATATAAAATAGCTGTACATATAACTACGAGGAAACGCTCGCATGTGGGATCTTTAAAATTACTATTAATACATCTCTGTAATGGGATCTTGTTTCTAAGTACGAGCATCCGTGAATCCGTCGTTCGTAAATCGGGGAGCTCCTGTACGTGTTTGCTTTCTAAACACGTTATGCAAAACTTTGCAAAGAGTTTTAAATGAAAATTAATCACGAATGTTTTGTGCGTGCGTGTGGTTCCATTTGTTTAAAAACACAACACACAGACCGTAACGCCCCACTATGTCCCATTCATAACTGGATGTAGTTTTGTGTGTTAAAATCGCCCTTTGCCTGGATGCGGCAATATTCCACCTCAATGCAACCAGTTCTTTCGTAGGTTTTGCATGGACGCTTCCGACCTGGGTCGGGGAGGCCTGTTTAAAATTGGAGGAGTTGCTGGTCGTTGCTGCATGTGCTGCCACTCAAGCTCCGGGACCAGGCGTGCTCGATCGCGCGCATGCGCGGCGCCTGTCGCCAGGATCCCCAGCAGCTAGGAGATGCTGTAGTGGCGTATTTTGTTGTTTGCTGACATACGCCATTGAGACAAACAACAACAACAACAACAAAAATAAAATGTCTACCAAAGCGGAGCAGTGTAAGTATGGGAAGGACACAGCAGTGGTAGAATGCCCTCGGGAAGTGAGGGTCAGTTAGTGGCAGATGGTGTCATTGTGTTGCTTCCAAAAGAGGCCTGTCCACTGAGGGCTTCAGTACATTGCACACCTTGCTCTTTTTTCTCTCTCTCTCTCCAAATTTAATGGTCAAATTGACGCGGAATTAATATTTCTGCACGGGCGTATTTTTGACGGCAGTCATGGTAAATTAGCCCTGCAAGTCTCGAATGCTCCCTAGCCTGTCCTCGCCAGGTCCAGGAACTGCATTCAGTTGCCAAGGTCAGCTCATTGCCAACATTGGGATGTAGGGAGGGAGTAGCTTTAAGGTGGCTAATTTTAAATGTCCGCAGCAGAATGATGACTTTATACTTCTGAAGACCGTCCCTGAAGAGGAAAGAGAAGGGAAAATGTCGGTTGACTGTTACAAATAAAGTACATTTTTAGTGTATGTGCGCATATCACACATTATTATTTACACAGGCATGTAGCCAAGCTTCACTGGAGGACTCTCGTTTCCTAGGATAACCACCTGTTTCTGTACTAGGTTTTTTTTTTGCTGTTATTTTTCAAGCTGCATTATGAGCATCATTATAGCATGCATCTCAAATAGTTTTCAGAATAGCTGACTTTAAAAAAAATGCTACAGTTAGTGTCTGGGTCTTTTATCAATTGTGCACATAAAATCTTTTTTGTTTTATAAAAATGAACAGAGAAACTATCACTGTCAACAAATAATATGAGAAATCTCTGAAGCAGGATGTGCAGCTTGTAAATGCCATAATTACAAATGTGCTATGATAGGGACTTTCCAATGATACCGCCAGACCTGCTCAGTTCTCCAGCATTTTCAGTATTTGAGATAGTCTGCTGACCATAGCACATTTTTAAAATTATGGTTCCTTATTTACAGGTGAAATAAGTTAATTTGAATGATTTTGCAGTCAAAAAATGTCTGAAACTGCATTGTAGGGTATGTTGTCTTTACATTAAGAATTTGTCTTAAATATGTGTAATGATTGTAATGAGGTCAGCCAGGTGGACATCATAGAATATGTGCTCCCTGATTGGGGCTGTTAATCTGGTCTAATCAAGGAGCCCTGGCTGACAGATATGAACAGGCATGTCAGCCATCCTGTTTACTCTGAGAGCTGGATCTGAGGGAGCTGGACCAGTGTCAAGGACGCTCCACGTGTAAGCAAACAGTGACTTGGTGACAGGATACTGGCCTCTGCGGAGTTATTTGAACATGATTGTGAGGTTTGTTAAGATATCCTGTCATTTCATTAAAGTTTAAGTAACTCTTAGTCTGAGGATCTTCATGTTGAAGTGGATGTTTATTGCCCATTGCAGATGTGCTTGAGAAAGTGATATTGGATTTGGAGACACTCTGAACTAGTGCTTAGAAGTAAGCACTGGTGATGATGTTCTTGTGCACACTCTTCTCTTGTCCTTCTTTGTGATGGAGGTGGTGAAGGAGCTTTGGTGACTTCAAGTACATTCTGAAGATAGAATAAGTTGCAACCATGGTATAGCAGGAAGTGGATGAGATGTTGCTCAAATGGATGCTATCCTTCTGAATACTACTGTGCTTCATGAATGTGTTTGGAGTGGCACCATTTGGACAAACCACACTTTGGAATTGTGCCTAGTAGGATAGGAAGTTTTCAGGAGTTAGGGGGTTAGCCAATTGATACTGAATATCCAACCCCTGAAGTGCTGTTATGGCTCTGGCATATATTTAGGTAGTACAGTTGAGTTTCTAGTCAATGGTGATCCTCCCAGATATCCCCCTCCCTCTCCTTTCCCCAGGATGTTGATGATCAGAGAGTTGCAGGTGGTAAACCTATTGCATATGAAGGTGAGATGGTTTTCTCCTGTTAGAGGTAGTCATTCCCTCGCGCTTGTCTGAATATTATTTTTCACCATTTGTCCAAGCTTACGTGTGGGCTCAGATTGTTTCATTATTTGAGCAATTGTGAATGGAGTTTAACACATGAAAACAACAGTGGACATTCCCATTTCTGAAGTTTTGATGGAGGGATGATCATTGAGGATGCAGCTGAAAGTAGGGCACTAACATGAGGAACTCCTACAATCATGTCCTGCAGTTGAGGTGGTTGGACTCTACCAACCATCTTATTTTGAGCTAGGATGATTTCTACTGGTGGAGAGTTTTTTGTTTTCTCTGAATCCCATTGAATTCAATTTTTCTAAGACACCTTGGTACCACATTCTGTCAATTGTTGTCTTGATGTTAAGAAGTCATCCTGACCTCAAATCTGGAATTCAGCTGTTTTGTTCATGTTCATGGTTGATAGTGTCAAGGCCTGTAGCCTTTCCCTTTTTTATTTTGAGTGATTAATGTACATTCCAAACCAATGAATGTCATGCGATAGCCAGCATTACAGGGAAATAATATGGACACTTTCATAATGGGAAGTCCTATAAGTTCAAGTTTTTAGGTGTTTTATGTAGGCACAGTTCATAAAGTATTTGTAGACAGTTATTTCAATACAGAAAATTCACAGTATGACTTAAGTAATTTGTTATATATATTTTGAATTTGCTATATTATCATTGTTTACATACTCATCTTTCAATTATATTTCCATGGAAAAAATTAAGAGCTGCAGCTTTATAAACTGTGGTATGGTTGTATGTTTCCAGTGGTATGATATGTTGTTGAAAAAAAAATGCCACTCATCTCAAGTGTGATATACTGAAATAGTTAATTCTTCTGCTGTTATGTGATGCAAATGACTGTAATTCTCTGTATGTTTTGAATACTGAAGTATTGCTATGTACACATTTTAAATTATTTACTCGTATGATAATATCCATAATTTACTAATTAACAGACAGCAACTCGTGTAGGTGTGTGTGCAGGCATACAAGGACATTCTGCTTCGGTGGTTAAAAGTGCTGTTTGGTGTGTTACTGAGCCCTACAGACAAAGAAGCTTTTTGTCTAAAACCTGGTCTTGGCTGAGTTAACAGATTCCACCTGTAGCTTCACCATCACTGTGCTGAAGAGTGGAAAAATCAGCCAGGTGTCAGTTATACCATTCCTGATTGTTTTCGATCATGGGACAAGCATGGTTTTGAATATGACAAAGGACATGCTGTTGTCTAGTCTCTCTATGTGAAGTATCACCGCTTCAAGTAATGTACTGGCAGATTATTTTCTTGGCATCGTAATCCAACGTATGTCACAAAGGAAGATGTAAAATCTGGATAGGAAATGAGAATGCTGTTTAACTTTGTAAAGCAAAATATTGATTAAAACAACTGACATCTTCCAAAATTCTTACTTATTCAGTTGCATCTAAGGTCCGTTATTTACAAGAGTACCACAATCGTGTTCTTCATAACATTTATCCTGTACCATCTGGAACTGATATAGCAAATACATTGAAGTACTTTTCACAGACATTGTTAAGGTAAGCTTTCTTTTACGTGTACCTGAAACACATAATGACATGATTGTTTTGTAAAATGGGTTTGAGCATTGACATTTTGTATTTTCATTCTTTTTGTACAAATAAACAAGTAAATGATCTCGAATTTTATTTGGAAGGAAATTCCAGCCATCAAAAGTTGTATTTAATATAATAACTCATCTTTGTGCATATCTGAATTTTATGATTTAACTTAAATAGACAAACAATTAGTGAAACATTTGGCTCTTCCCATATGCAGTCATTCAATACTTTGAAAAGATCTTTGTTGTCAGATGATGAGATTACACTTGTCAGCAACTGCTGGTTGAAATACAGAAGAAAATAGCAATGATGAAATCATGGCACAAGGATTAATGCCTTTGTGAAAATAGTTAACAGAGATTTTGTATGAATGTGTTAATGCTTTTGTATGCCACATTAATACAATATCACTCATTTCAATTTCTGATGTGGCTCAACCAGTTAAAACAATTGAGGCATCATCATCTGGCTATAAAGAAAATAAATAAACATTCAAGAGTCAAAATATTTATTTACTGTTGCAGGAAAATAAACCCATCAAATCTTAAAATACGTGCTTACTGTTTGAAGGAAACACTGAAACTAAATTAGTGAAAATGCCTTAAATGCAAGTTACTGTATTCTAGTTTATAAAATCGTTTTTACAGGATTGCTAGGCCTTTTACAACCTGGAATCACCAACAGTTCTAGGATCTCTGTTAGGAGCACTTTAAAATGGATTATGCCATTAAATGAATATGAGACAAAGTTTGGGAAGAAAGCCATGCTTAAACATGTTAGACAGTAGATGCTATGATGGGAAGTAACATTTGAATTGACTTTGGGTGAATAGCCATTGTCCCTTTGTCGACCTTAACCAAATTATTAGACAGAGACTACTTTCAAGGACAGACAATTCATAGAGAGGTTTCTTTAGGCTACTGTTATACATCTCCTAGCTTCAATTACACAGCATTATTTGTGGAAGTTTGGGAGCAGCCTTTCCCTTCATAAATGACGTGGGCTTAGGAAATTTGTGATGTGTTGACCATAATTCAAAAATGAGGACCAAACAATTTTTATTTAGTTTTGTTGAGGGAGTACTGGAAAAAAGGAGTGGATTATTAATTTGTGTTTATATTATGGCCTGAAGCCAAATTTTGGCAAATTGGATGAACTTTCTGATGCTATTGTTGATATGTGACAATCTATAAAAGGAAAAAAATCTTTTCAACCTTGAAGAAAGTGACATGTATCAGACAATATTGAAGCAACAAGATGGATCTAATAGGGGTCGCAATTCCGAACCTGGATGTTGGATTCCTTGTTGCCCTGTTTTGGGAATAACTTGACATTGCACGTCTCGTATTTTTTCTGGCATAGGAATAATTAATGTTGATAATAGATGCAATGTGGAAGATGTATTTCCTGGGACTATTTGCTCTGGACTTGATGAGTCACCAAGGATACAATGATTTCAAACACTGTGAGAAAAGTAGAAAGTAAGCTTACAGCAGTTGGAATCACTATAATGATCATAACTAAAAGGTGCATAACAACAAGGTGCAGAGCTGGATGAACAAAGCAGGCCAAGCAGCATCATAGTAGCAGAAAGGCTGACGTTTCGGGCCTAGACCCTTCATCAGAAATGGGGGAGGGGAAGGGGGTTCTGAAATAAATAGGGAGAGAGGGGGAGGCGGATAGAAGATGGATAGAGGAGAGGATAGGTGGAGAGGAAACAGACAGGTCGAAGAGGCGAGGATGGAGCCAGTAAAGGTGAGTGTAGGTGGGTGTTAGGGAGGGGATAGGTCAGTCCAGGGAGGACGGACAGGTCAAGGGAGCGGGATGAGGTTGGTAGGTAGGAGATGGGGGTGGGGCTTGAGGTGGGAGGAGGGGATAGTTGGGAGGAAGAACAGGTTAGGGAGGCGGGGATGAGTTGGACTGGTTTTGGGATGCGGTAGGGGGAGGGGAGATTTTGAAGCTTGTGAAATCAACATTGATACCATTGGGTTGCAGGGTTCCCAAGCGGAATATGAGTTGCTGTTCCTGCAACCTTCGGGTGGCATCGTTGTGGCACTGCAGGAGGCCCAGGATGGACATGTCGTCTGAGGAACGGGAGGGGGAGTTGAAATGGTTTGTGACTGGGAGGTGCAGTTGTTTATTGCGAACCGAGCGTAGGTGTTCTGCAAAGCGGTCCCCGAGCCTCCGCTTGGTTTCCCCAATGTAGAGGAGGCCACAACGGGAACAGTGGATGCAGTATACCACATTAGCAGATGTGCAGGTGAGCACTGCTTGATGTGGAAAGTCTTTTTGGGGCCTGGGATGGGGGTGAGGAAGGAGGTATGGGGGCAGGTGTAGCACTTCCTGCGGTTGCAGGGAAAAGTGGTGGGGCTGGAGGGGAGTGTGGAGTGGACAAGAGAGTCACGGAGAGAGTGGTCCCTCCGGAAAGCAGATAAGGGTGGGGAGGGAAAGATGTCTTTGGTGGTGGGGTCGGATTGCAGATGGCGGAGGATGATGCGTTGGATCCGGAGGTTGGTGGGGTGGTACGTGAGGACGAGGGGGATTCTTTTTTGGTTGTTATTGCGGGGAGGGGGTGTGAGGGATGAGTTGCGGGAAATATGGGAGACACGGTTGAGGGCGTTCTCGACCACTGAGGGGGGGAAGTTGCGGTCCTTGAAAAATGAGGACAACTGAGATGTACGGGAGTGGAATGCCTCATCCTGGGAGCAGATGCGGCGGAGGCGAAGGAGTTGGGAATAGGGGATGGCATTTTTGCAGGAAGGTGGGTGGGAGGAGCTGTATTCTAGATAGCTGTGGGAGTCGGTGGGCTTGAAATGGATATCGGTTTCTAGGTGGTTGGCCGAGATGGAGACAGAGAGGTCCAGGAAGGAGAGAGATGTATTAGAGATAGTCCAGGTGAACTTAAGGTTGGGGTGGAAGGTGTTGATGAAGTGGATGAACTGTTCGAGCTCCTCGTGGGAGCACGAGGCGGCGCCGATACAGTCATCAATGTAACGGAGGAAGAGGTGGGGTTTAGGGCCAGTGTAGGTTCGGAAGAGGGATTGTTCCATGTAACCTACAAAGAGGCAGGCGTAACTTCAAAATCTCCCCTCCCCCTACCGCATCCCAAAACCAGTCCAACTCGTCCCCGTCTCCCTAACCTGTCCTTCCTCCCAACTATCCCCTCCTCCCACCTCAAGCGGCACCCCCATCTCCTACCTACCAACCTCATCCCGCCCCCTTGACCTGTCCGTCCTCCCTGGACTGACCTATCTCCTCCCTAACTCCCCACCTACACTCACCTTTACTGGCTCCATCCCCGCCTCTTTGACCTGTCTGTTTCCTCTCCATCTATCCTCTCCTCTATCCATCTTCTATCCGCCTCCCCTTCTCTCCCTATTTATTTCAGAACCCCCTTCCCCTCCCTCATTTCTGATGAAGGGTCTAGGCCCAAAACGTCAGCCTTTCTGCTCCTCTGATGCTGCTTGGCCTGCTGTGTTCATCCAGCTCTACACCTTGTTGTCTCAGATTCTCCAGCATCTGCAGTTCCTACTATTTCTTATTTTTGTTGGGCAAGTTGTAGAGGAATGTTGCACTTCTTTGTTGGAAAGTAATTACAAAAAACAATATTTTATGTATATTTTTTATTTGAAAATATAAGCCCTTTATAGTCAATCCCTCACTGAAATCAACATATTTTAAATTCTGGAAGAACACTAAACAAAACTTAACAGAAAGTGATAAAAATTCTAAATACAAAGCTTCAACTTTACTGTGAGATAAATGTTACTTCCAATAAACTGTCACATTCTTTATATTGTCATCTGTTGGATGATAGTCAAGCTTTATACAAAGGTTACACTGTTGAATTCCATCTGTTGTGGAACAGTTAAGTTGCAAAGTTTGAACACATACATTTATGAATGAAAATGATGGTTTAAACTCAGGGTTCATCGTTTTGATCGCAATATTCCTTTTGTGTGAAAATGTAACATTGTATGATCCCATAAATGTTACATTTTAAAATTATTTATAATATTCTTAATGCATTAGGGTCTTTGAAATGTAATGCCACATAAAGTGAGATGACTCACAGGAGAATAGCAATCTTTCAATGAATGTGAAATAACAGACTATTGAAGTAACAGAATACACTGAACTTCAGTGTATGTAATTCTTCACAACTTTGTAGTCATTTGGTTGTTAACATTTTCCCAAACAAAATAAACACATATTAACTCTTACTTAGCATCCTGTTCTTGAGATCTAGAAATTCTGAGTTAAGCAGAGGTAACATCGACATTGCATTTTATTAAACCTTGCAATTAAATCATCCGGTTCAGAAACTGTTCTAAATGAGTATCTGCAAATGCATAAATACTTAAATTATTTCAATCCACTTTTCTGTCAATTAATCAAATATAAAGTTGTGTTTTTTGCTAAGCATGTTCAATTAGTCACGTTTTAGCATTTAAATCAATATTTAATATATTGATTAAATCCTGCTTCAGAGCTCATTATTGACTGAAATATTGACAGATTTTTTTTAAATTGCAGGGTTTTATAGCTGTAAAGAGTGTTCTGTTATGTCAGGGGTTCCATTTAACAAGTACATTCATTAAATGACTCTACAGTGCTTGGAAATATAGACATGATATTTTATTCTCTGAGAGTACAATGCTGATTTTTTTAAATTATGAGGGCAAAAAGTTGTGCATTTATCCTTTTAAATATTGAATTTCATTTGTAGCTTTCAAATTGTGTTGGTGTTCATATAAGCTTTTGACGTTTTTTAAATTAATACTTTCTGGCTTGCAAGTTTATGTGTTCTTTCTTTACATAATATTAGTGAGTTATTTAAAATCCCAGTAAAGTTGTAAAAGTGTTCCTATAATAACTTGTCCCTATTAAAACAGGATAGTCAAAGTATATGGAATTATCCTTATTTGGACCAACAATTTAGATTGAGGGCCATCAAA